GAAGGCAGATCTACTGGAAGAGCTCCGTAAGCCAAGGCCATAAGGAGGCCAAATTTTGGGGTTATGTCTGCCTCTCCCATTGCAGGCTCCATACCAGGAATGTCTGTCTTCCGATTGACTTTACCTTTGTCTTTCCTACTTTGAAGGCAAAGTAAGGAGTAATGACAGAAAACCTACATTTCACTACACAGCTTCAAGTAGTCGAGATATTTCAGACGCCATTTTCACCTTTCTCCTTTCCACAGACTGAAGACACTTTTCTTACTTTTAAGACCTGTAGTTACCCACAAGTTACTCTACATCTCTACAAATTCCTCTTTTTCCATGTTGATGGCTGAAGTTTAAGCTGCCTTTTCTTACTTTTAAGACCTGTAGTTATCCACAAGTTATTCTACATCTCTACAAATTCCTCTTTTTTCCATGTTGATGGCTGAAGTTTAAGCTGGTTTCTCTCATGATCACTATCATTCTTTGTATATCTTCACTGTCTTTATAGCTGTTTTCATTTAGCAGATGTTCTCTAATTTACCCCTTTGCTCTCAAAGGTGAATTTTAAACAGAGCATATCAAGTTCCTACAAGTTGTACAATCTATCCCGCTCTGGCACATTATCCGCTCGGCTGCTTGATACCGACATTTTTTCAGAAAGCTTTCGGTGAACCCTAGTGGTAAACCTTAAACAACAACAAAAATCAAACCAATAAAAATAGCACCAAAAGCTACTAATATTTTTTAAAAAACTTTTACTATATAAATGTAAAAAAAATAAATATGGTTATAACCACTCTTTTCTGACGGATAACAATCACTCTCAGTAGAGGACATAAGCTGTTTTTGTTACCATGCCTTCTGTCCTTTCAACATTTCAGAAGAATAAGGCCTAATAAAAATTAATAAAATATTGAGATATAAATGTAGGTGGTACAGTGGTAACAGAGGACACCAAGAGGTCCATGACTACATGGAAAGCCTTGACTACCTACCCTCCATTCAGAAAGTTACAGGGCATTGGTTAGGAACTAATCTTTATTCATTTCAACTGGCCTTGAAACAACAACCCTAAGAAAATAGCACAGTCTCCAAGAAGTGAGACCTTATCAGGATGTGTCGAGCAAGATGGAGAAATACCGGCAGCAACCCAGCTGGAGGGTCACCAGCACAGCTTAGCAGTAAGGCTCAGCCTAAAGGGAAAGGCAGTGGGTAATTCAGCCTGTCGGCACAGCACAGATTACGCAGCCGAGAGTCTCAGCTACAAACACGACGGAACCATCGAGCTCTCCCACAAGCGCAAGCGGAGGGGACACGGGCTTCTTGTCTGTGCGTCCACACGTGTGGCCTGCGTGTAAAGCACCAAAGGGAACGGTCACAAAGGGCGTAACCCCTCGCGTTTAACTACAGGACCTGCTCCAAGCTCTTCCCACTAAACTCAGACGAGCATGTTTACTACTGTTCTACACATAAAACTAGGAAAACAAAGTCACCATGTAACAACAGTGTTAAACTCACACTTTCACCTTCTCTTCCTCAGAGTCAGGCCTCTGCTGGCATCCCTTCAAAGCTCTGCCAACATATGTATTTAGCCACCAAGGCTGCAATTTGGGTTGAAGTTTAGCTCTCTGTACATAAGCTCTATACAGCTAAGTTCCTTTGTAATGCTTAGGATATACCACAATATATATACAGAGCCTTGCTTACTGCTTCCACTGGCCCTTCCCTTACTGAAAATAAATTATTACTCAATTACAAGTATTTCAGGTATCCAGCAGCTGCTACTCTCCTAACAGGAAAAAAAGGGACAGTGGCATTACTTTCTTCTAAAAGCGCATGCAGAGAACAAAAAAAGACGTGCTCAATATGAACAAAATTTCAAATTAAACGTCTTCCAAATGCCAACGATGAAAAAAAAAAAAAAGCCACCCTCACAGCACCCTTTAGTTCAATTTAACTCCGATTCATCAGGCCACGCTTATGTGAAAAACCCTCACAATTACACAGCACTTCAGCTGCCAGCGAGTACTCTGGGAAATCTTGCGGTGCTTTCAGACACAGTTAAGAGAACGCTCCTCTTCTCCCTGCTGAGGAATCGCAGAGGCCAGACTGAGCGACGTGCAGTGGGTGGACAACTAATTCCCACATGGGAAGATGTGTCTGATGGTGCTTTTAAATGTTAACCACAGCCTTCTAGCACGAGACATTTAAAGTCGCTTTCGATAATTTATTTCACAAACCAACCAAACAGGCTGAGCACTGACCTCCAGAGTTAAAACCGATGCCCCGAGGGAGAGAGGGGGTATATATTTGTGTAACAGCAGTGGGGAAGAAGCAACTGTCACACACAGACTGACAGGGAAAATTCAGGAAATAAAATCACTAAAAGCACTACCACCCCAGGACAGTTTCCAACTGTACCTTTTTCCTGTTTGAAAAGCACAGTATTTGTTGCATCCTGGATATAATCTGTCAATGCTTCTTGTTAAAGATAACAGACCTCTCATCACACAAAAAAGGAGCAGAGTTTGTTTGAAATTCCCTAGTTTCCACCAAGGGTAGATTTAAAAAACAAAGAAAAAAGATCTGTATTTAAACTTACCTTAATAGTGTATTCACAAAATAGACACCACAGCACTTTATTTCTTACAGGCTTTTAGTAACTATTAATTTATCACTGGGCTTTGCAAACACATGCAACGTGTTTCCCATTAATCACCTGGCACTTAATGCACAACGTTGGAAGTGACTTTGAACAGACATACTTTGCCAAAACTTACTGTAAAACTGAGAAAGCATCCACTTCACTGCCGAGGTCACTGTACTTCCCTCTCCAAAGCTGCTTTATCAGGTGCCCCCCACCTGCAACCCAGCTCCTGGCAGGGTCCATCCCCCCACAACCACCCACCCAAGGCCAGGGCTCCCTGCAGCTCCAAAACTCTCAGTCGTTACAAGATCATCGGAATAATTACTGCAGTCAATGTGTTTGATTTTAAACTGCACGTACAGTCTCAACTCCCCAAATGCAATTATTTATGCACATCAAGCGCAATTAAATCCTCGGACCAAAGCAAGCACTCAAGATAACAGGAACAATTTCCTGAAAAATGTCCTGCCCGAAAGCATATTAATTATTCACAAGTTAGCCCACGTTACCAAGTAGAAAGAAGATCATTCTACAGCAGATAGATTGAAGAAACGAATTTTCTGAACACTGTAAAAACAAAATCAAACGTTTGCAGTTCCCAAGAGTCAAGATTCTTAGAACATTCTCACTGTTTTGCTGAGGAACTTGAGATCCAGCGTTACACTTACTTTCTAAAGCACTGAGGACAAATCAATTATGAGACCCTGTTCAAAACCTTGAGTGACTTTCCTCTCTTTCTGTTCCCCACTCTCTTTTCACAGTATAATATAGACTTTACTTTTTTTCCTTAAAAATAAACATCAATATTCGAGGTGGAGCCTCTCTAGGTGTCATAAAGGAGACAGCTGGCTTGCTTTTCTTCCATTTTTAAGGTCCTATCAGTAATTACCATAGATGTGTTTTTTCTGCATTTTTTAACATTATTTCTAGATACTTAATCAAAAGATTCAGCTGTTTGAAGAAGGTTTTTGAAGGTCTCTTTTCTTTCAGACAGGTCATAACTTCCATAAATTCTTGCAAGGCTTAAACTGTTCAAAAAGTTAAGGCCTATCCTCAAAAGGTACAGATCTTCCATCATTATGCTCAGGCTGAAGGCTTCAGTGAAGTGTGGGTAGTAACTGCGTGTCAAAAACACATCGAGGCTGACACCAAGAGCTTCTGAATTTTCATAGAGTGTCCATTTGAGATCAGGAAGGAAGATGGCTCAGCTCAAGACCAAGTTTAGGACACACACAAAACCACAGAAGGATACCACACCTCTTTCAGTGTGTTGCTACCCGCACTGAAGTCTCTACAAAACTCAGGATGAGAATAAGTGCCACTAGAATATATAAGCAGGATGCTTACCCATCCATTTCAAACACGACTAGTGAAATAGTTAAGTGGCAGAACTGAATCACTTAAATCCATTTACTAAAGCAAGTAAAAAACAAACCAAGAGCTGAGGATTTGCTGGGAAACTGAACTCCCTAAGAACTGCCACGTGCAAATATTCTGTACATCACACCCTCGGTTTCACAGGAAGATTTCAGTTTGAACATATGATTTAAGGGGTCTCTATCATACTATAGAAGCAAATTCAAAATACACTATTAGGCTAAAAAACTGACTTTTTCGAGCAGGTGTATATTTAACACCAGCGCCTTTGAAGAAACTATGTATTGTTCCTGTATGCAGTTACTACTACATTTTAGCAACACGCTGCAAATAATACAGTGCTGAAGTCTCCCAGTTGCTTTCGTTCCCTGTTTATAGGGTAATTGCTCATCCAATGTCTTTTTTTTTTTGCATGAAAATACTAAAGAAATTTTACTAGCAGAAGTAATCCTAGCCAGCAATCATATCTAATTTGTTGCCCATACACAGAAAATAATCCAAGTATAAATAATCAATACATGTCAGTCTAGAGGTAAATGTCAATAAGAGCTGTAAGCTGTTTTGGTTTGGGATGTTTTCGAGTTTTTTGGGTTTGTTTTTTTTTTTTTTAATCCCATCAAAGCAACTGCCACAAAAACAATTCTAGAGCAAGCCCTTAAATCCTTCCTTATTTTTTATGCATGTATTGCCATAAGAGATACAGTCATTAGCCAGTGTATTTCTTGAGTTTGTTTTGTATTATTTTCTGATGCATTAAATCATCCTGTAAAGAAAAAAGACCGAAAATAGATGTATTTTATATTTTTTGGGGACACTAGTTTTGCTCAAAGCATATCCAAAGGTGTATAGTGTCAAGTTTAGGGTTCCCAGCCTCATAACAAAAAGCTCTACCATAAATACTACATTTGTGCTACAAATATCTGGGCAAGTAGAGGAGTCTTGCAAGAAACATGTTCTCATCGTTAGTTCTCAACCACCATGAAAAAATTTCAGTGGTAGCGTTTAAATTATACAAGATCGGCAGCGAATTTGGCTACGGAATCAACAGAAGCGTCTTTGCAGAATGGTCCTGCCGCTGAGGGTACATCAAGAGGTACGGAAAGATCCGCAAGCAAATGGGGAAATAATTCTTTGCCCACCACACCTCTCAGGAAACTGAATAAACACAAACTAATATAAAGCATATGGGTTTCACAAATATGAAAATCACCTTATGAGGAAGAATGTTACTTAGAGGAATGGCAAGATACAGATTACTGAAAACATACTCAAGGAACACGGAATTTGCAGGAATTCCCTCAGGAAGCAAGTAAGTTTGTGACACACGTGTGAGAGTTTAGGACTCTTCACAACCCTAAGGATTAGCAGGCTCTTCCAAAAAGCCCTAAAACTTTGTCATCAGCACCCTGAGCTACGTAGCATCCAGCAATCTTCCAAAATACTGAAAGCAGAGCTATCGGCTAGCGATGCTTACCCGGCACAGTATCCTTGCACACACCGGAAAAGCCCAACTTCCACCCCACTAGACCTCGTAATGGCCCAGGTGAGACAACTGCTCAGATTTGGACCAGCTGCCCTCCCAGAGGGACAAGCCTCCGTGCCACCACATCTTTTGCTCCGTACAAGAACTTCAGGCCATCATCTATAAGAAACAAACTAAAGTTTTTCTCCTTTCCCCAGGGGCAACAATTTTATCCTTATTGTCGTCCACACTGAAGTACCCATTGTCATTTTCTTCAGGGATATGCGCCTGAGCAGCAGTTCTCAACTGGTATTTCCCTCTGTAGTTGGCAATTTCTACTCCAGAGCTTATGTCTGGGTATCAAAAAGTCCATCTACTTTTTCAAACTACACTTGATTATTTAATAAAACAGTTTCAGCCTTACCCATAAATGTCACACAGATTACGAAGATTTTTAGGGGGTGCACTGTCCAAATCTGTTAGCACTTGGAAGGTGACTAACCGCCCCGAAACCAAAATAAAAACCTGAACAGCCGCCAAGGCTCCTCACAAAAGGATTCAATCTGGTGGTGGTGAACACAAATGAGATCATTCACCAAGTCAGAAAGCATCCTAAAATGATACATCAGCCTCTAAAAAAAAAAATATGTACAAAATATGATTAGATTAAACCCACTTTTTTGTTACTGTTATCTGAAAACAATGAATCGTCTCAGTCATGATGTCAAAACCTTACTCCTACTCTCATTGCTTTTCTGTCGCTTGAAATTATTAAAGATGCTAGAGAGCTGCTGAGCTATGAGCATGCAGCTTGGTTGATTAATGAAGGAGCTCACAAACGTCAAGGAGAGGTTGGTATTTG